CTATTTTCATGAACTTCATGCTTTAAGATGCTATTTTTGCTTAGATGATCATTTAACAATGTTTTTACAAATAATTTGTAAAATGCAATCTATGAAGTCTGTTTAAATATTACATTTTATAAAACTACTGAAAGGAATCCCAATTCTTTTAATTTTTCAGCAAAAAGAAAAACTCAAGAGTTTCTGTCATTGAAAAATTGTACATAGCAAAAATACTAAATCAGGCTAGAGTTGTTTTTAGATAACTTTTATCTTTACTGGAAAACTGTTATAAAAATTAGTTTGTGTTGTGACTGATTTACACACCTTTTCAATTTTGATTGGCTTAGAAATTTATCAGTCTCTTGAGAAGCATAAAATGGTTCATTTCTCAGATAGACCATCATCTCCTTGGCATCATCAATGATCATTCTATTCAGCCAGCAATGCACATTATCTATACACTTTCTAACTCAGGAAAGGCTAATCTTTTCAGGAACTTGAGAGACAAGATTAAAAAGAGACTTTAAAAAAGCTTCTCTTTTGTGCTTATGGGTTTTATAATAATGATTAGAGATATAAATATAAATTTAATTTATACACATTCAAAGCCTCCAGCACTTAAGCCATATGATCATGCAGTCAGTTAATATCTACCGTAAAAATAGAACATTAGAAAAGTGAAAAGCTGTCCACTTCCAGTTTTTGAATTCATTAATCAAGAGCCCCTCCTGAATGCCTATAACTGGAGAACAAAATTAATTTGTGTCACTGGAAACATAGCTTTAAAATTGTGAAATATAATGTTCAGGAAGAACACTGGATGCATGGATCATGAATCTCACATGATGGGCTGTTACAATGGCTTGCCATAACTGGAAACAAGCCTTTTTCCTGTAAAATCGTGCAGCATGTACAAAGAAATAAAATACTCTTTAGTCTTGGAAAATTGTCTTCATTCTCATTCTCCCACAGCTCAATATTCTGTTATGTACAGTTCAATGAGATGTAAACCATAATATCAAAATTTTAATGTGCTAGAGGGAAAAATTGGGCCTTCTCTAAACATTTGACAAGACAAAGGGAACAACTGTCTCAGATGACTAACAGCAATGAATCAGACAAAATTATTATTTCTTACATCATTATTTTTCAGTGCAGCTTTGAACCTGACTGATTGCTTTTGCTTGTCGATGACAGTTTATCTGTCAGACAGATCTATATATAAGACCCATTGTGGAAAATGTTTAATTGGGGCCTTACCCAATACTTGAGCTTTTGGGTTTGTATAAGTGCTGTTAGCACTTGGCATGGAGTTTTTGACGAAAAAGTGAGAAAAAAAATATTGCCCTATCTGCTCTGACCCCTAGCTTTAACGTAATGTTTGGCTGATCCTATCACCTAGTAGATGGTAAGTTGAAAGAAGTTATAGTAAATATATGTTATTATAATGTAGTAAATATTATATTATTCATTAGTAAATGTATTGTTACTATTACTATGTTGAAATAAGTGTACCTTAGATAACATATATGCCTCTATTTACTTTTTTCTTAAATTTTCTTTATAGGAGAAACAAAGACAGTATGGAAAACCAAACCAATCATGCAACTAGCATTTTTCAAAAGGAGAGGTCATAAACAGCACACTGCATTTTTAATGTCAAGAATGTAAACATAACAGTCTAACAGTCACTGCTGTGATGGTTATGGAGTCAGGCTCTGAGTAGCTATAGCAGGAGAGAGGCTTCCACTGACCAACAGGATAAGTACAGAAGCAGGTCACCCTGGTGGATGATGTGGGCTCACCTGAGGCATGAGGTATAAGCATTAACCAGTATTTAATAGGGCTCCTGATGGTGGGATGGGTTTTTTCAGTGTGCTAGTTCCAGTTTGTGGTCCTCAGGATTGCCCCCCCCCCCCCAGGAGGTGAGAAAGTCCAGTAGCAGATATAGCAGGCTAAGGAATGGTAATGAGTGATGGCGAAGATAAGTATGCAAAGGAGCAAGAGATCTGCTACAGAGAGCACAATAATCTGGCAGTAAGTAACAGTAAGTGCGGAGACATTGCTTAAATCAGGTACTAAGGGATCAGACTGGGAGCTGTCCAGTATCTCAGGTGCAACAGTGAAAGAAAAGTTACAGCCAGATACTACACAGGTTTGCAGGTTCAGATCCCTGACAACTGAGATTTTTGTTTATGTAATCATTTTTATTTTAATTGCCTTTAATGTATTTTACGTTATTTGCTTACTTTTATGATAACAATTAAAAAAATGAATACAGGATTTGAAAATCACATTGGCCATGGCAGGAATTGCCTAGAAATCATTCATCTTCAATCTATGAAAACATTTTAAATCTGAAATAAAATGCAAGGAATTTAGTTATCTGTAACTGTATCTATAAAGTTTACATGTGCCATGATCAGCATCTGTGGTTTTGAAAAGTGTGGGTTACAGCAGGACTTGGGATGGGACAAATTCCAACAGGAAAATGTAAACTGCAATGTTTCACAAAGAAATACCAATAAAATTGAGAGATGTGCACTTTAAAGAAATTAAAATCTTTAGTATATATGGTTTTTATATTGTGCTAAGTTTATTGTTTTATGCTGTAAGACATTTTGAGCTAGAGGAGGCTTACTAGACATTACTGGCGTTCTTTTTGGGACTGCTGCCAGTAGTTAGAAAAATAATATTTGCTGACCTTTTAACTTTGGGGCACCTCTCTAAATTGAAATGTATATCAGTTGTGTTGGAAATTTTTATCTGGTAATTCCTGCAGCAAAAATAAAAGTTTACAGTTTGTATCCTATAATATCTCACAAGGTACAAATCTATTTGTACATGTGTGAGTTGTATGTCCCACATGGTATGTTTTTTTTTTTCTGATTATTACAGATGCTGTCTTTCTTATGATGGGGTTAATATGATACAAGAAAAGATATAATAATTAATTAAAAGCATGCACTGTATAAAAGCCCAGGAAAATATCTTAGCAGGTCTGCATGTGTAATGAACAATGGTTTGTAATGGCACCTGAACAGATAAAGTATTATGCATTTCAGACACGCTGAGATAATGTACTATGCATTAAGGAGATAGATAGATACGGTGGATGATTAAAGAAAAGAGAAAGTAATTGATGATTACAAAGATAAATAGGAAAAAGGAGGGTATTATGTTAAGAAATATAGGGTAATTGAAGAAGAGTTACCAATTAAATTCACTACAAATCCCTTTGTCTTAATTGGAAAAAAAAACTGTAATATTAGAAGTTCTCAGACATTTTTTTTTTGTTGCTACTGGGAATTACATTAAACAGGAATAAAATCAGGTTGCATAGATTTAGTATTCTGTCACTTAGGGATAATCTGCTTCAGAATTTAGTACAATTACATAGGATTATTGGATTGCCATTGATACATACTGTAGATTAGAAAACCCCATTGGGGACAATGTAAAGTGTTATTTTCAGAAGCAAGGAATATATCAGATATACAGTATGTGTGACTGTGTCATCAAGGTATATTAGTGCTGAACATTAAACTAAATGCAATGCTTTCTGATCATTTGTAATGTTAAACAAAGATTATGTTTTGATAAAGTTCCAAGTGACAGTATACACATATTTTGATAATTTAGTAGCCAGTCCCATTAGATATAAATCAGCAAAACCCACAGTAAATAAATTAGTCTACCCCTACCATAAAAAAGAAATATTACTTGGTTTGGTTGATAACACCTTTTCTTTGTTATAGTGCAGTGTCTTTCTCCTATATTGTAGCCTAACCAAGCTGCTTACATATTGTCCAGCTACCTAACAATTTTTGTGGCTATTGTCTCTCAGATAATACATTCTAATTTTTATTACAAGATACAATAACTGCCTTGTCTCTTTTTGTTTACGATCTATTCAAGTGCTCACGAACACATAACTGTGGGCCATATTTTGAACATTTTGGGAATAATTGGGGTTACTAAGAGAAGGTTCAGGAAATGTGGGATTGTGGTTTTGAAGTTTTTATACACTCTGTTTTGACATTTTATTAAACCTTTAAGACAAATTACAATACTGTGAAAAAAAACCTCACAAATTATACTATAAAACTGTTTTGCCACTGGCCAAATTGTACATGTTGAGGGCTTTAGCTTTATTTTTGAAAGAGCAAACTTTCCTATATGTGACCAGATTTTTGGGGTTGTGAAACACTCTCAGAATTTTTATAGAGATGCAGTAGTGAGAGAGGTAAGACATAAAGGCCAACTGATACAGCCTACCTCCAGTTCAGGCCCACTGGCTACAGAATCATGTTGTTCTGCTCATGCACTCTACTGCTATTCCTCAGTCCTCTCCACCCTCTTCTTCCTCTCTCCTCTGCTCTCCGGCAATGACTCAGGCCAGGGATGGGAAAGGGACAAATTTTTTCTATTGGGGACACATCCAAGTACACATTCAGAAAAGGACAGTCTTCCCTATTCTGGGACCCCTTTTTACCTTACTGTACTGTATATTTTAGATCTGTTGAGGCCACTACTTCCACTGTTCAATTTGGGTTTATTACTGTTGGATAAAAAACAGTTTTGCATTGGTACATGTCCCCCATGGCAGTACCCAGATCCCTATGCTTATGTTTTTTCTCTCCTCTTGAGTATGCCTTACGGCTCAAAATGGGTAATTTCTAATTGGGGTCAATTATACTACGTCCGTATTTTAAAATGATTGTATATAATTGTCTATAATATCATGATTATCATATGATGTTATTAACTACATATATTTAATTCAAGTTTGTGTATAACAAGATCCAAGGTCCTGAGGAAACATGTCTTCCGTGAAACGCGTCAGTCATTCTAAACTAGAATCCTATGTTCAGATACATGGTTACTAGAGATGAGCGAAGTATTCAAAAATTCGATTCGGCTGATTCGGCGAATTCGAGGAATAAATTCGATTCGATGCGAATATATTCGCTGCGAATTTAACTTATAAAAGGGTGTTTCTAGGCTTTCTAGGTTTCTAGGGGCCAAGACCAGAGTGTGGAGCCACAGTGTGGCGGTGGAGGCAGCAGCAATGGGAGGCCATACAGCACCCTATGACAAAAATGGAACCCACCAGCAGTGTGAGGAGACCTGAAAGTGGCACATGGCAGAGTGTGGCGATGGAGACAGCAGCAATGGGAGGCCGTACAGGGACCCATGACACACTCTGGACCTGGCAGCAGCATGAGGAGGCGGTACGGGGGCCCATGGCAGATTACGGGCCTGGCAGCAGCAATGGGAGGCCCGTAATCTGCCAGCACCCTATGACAAAAAATGGAACACACCAGCAGTGTGAGGAGACCTGAAAGTGGCACATGGCAGAGTGTGGCGATGGAGACAGCAGCAATGGGAGGCCGTACAGGGACCCATGAGAGACTCTGGACCTGGCAGCAGCATGAAGAGGCGGATAAAGGGGCCCATGGCAGATTACGGGCCTGGCAGCAGCAATGGGAGGCCCGTAATCTGCCAGCACCCTATGACAAAAAATGGAACACACCAGCAGTGTGAGGAGACCTGAAAGTGGCACATGGCAGAGTGTGGCGATGGAGACAGCAGCAATGGGAGGCCGTACAGGGACCCATGAGACACTCTGGACCTGGCAGCAGCATGAAAAGGCGGTACAGGGGCCCATGGCAGATTACAGGCCTGGCAGCAGCAATGGGAGGCCCGTAATCTGCCAGCACCCTATGACAAAAAATGGAACACACCAGCAGTGTGAGGAGACCTGAAAGTGGCACATGGCAGAGTGTGGCGATGGAGACAGCAGCAATGGGAGGCCGTACAGGGACCCATGAGAGACTCTGGACCTGGCAGCAGCATGAGGAGGCGGTTACAGGGGCCCATGGCAGATTACGGGCCTGGCAGCAGCAATGGGAGGCCCGTAATCTGCCAGCACCCTATGACAAAAAATGGAACACACCAGCAGTGTGAGGAGACCTGAAAGTGGCACATGGCAGAGTGTGGCGATGGAGACAGCAGCAATGGGAGGCCGTACAGGGACCCATGAGACACTCTGGACCTGGCAGCAGCATGAAGAGGCGGTACAGGGGCCCATGGCAGATTACAGGCCTGGGCAGCAGCAATGGGAGGCCCGTAATCTGCCAGCACCCTATGACAAAAAATGGAACACACCAGCAGTGTGAGGAGACCTGAAAGTGGCACATGGCAGAGTGTGGCGATGGAGACAGCAGCAATGGGAGGCCGTACAGGGACCCATGAGACACACTCTGGACCTGGCAGCAGCATGAGGAGGCGGTACGGGGCCCATGGCAGATTACGGGCCTGGCAGCAGCAATGGGAGGCCCGTAATCTCTGCCAGCACCCTATGACAAAAAATGGAACACACCAGCAGTGTGAGGAGACCTGAAAGTGGCACATGGCAGAGTGTGGCGATGGAGACAGCAGCAATGGGAGGCCGTACAGGGACCCATGAGACACTCTGGACCTGGCAGCAGCATGAAGAGGCGGTACAGGGGCCCATGGCAGATTACGGGCCTGGCAGCAGCAATGGGAGGCCCGTAATCTGCCAGCACCCTATGATGAAAAATGGAACACACCAGCAGTGTGAGAGGAGACCTGAAAGTGGCACATGGCAGAGTGTGGCGATGGAGACAGCAGCAATGGGAGGCCGTACAGGGACCCATGAGACACTGTGGACCTGGCAGCAGCATGAGGAGGCGGTACAGGGGCCCATGGCAGATTACGGGCCTGGCAGCAGCAATGGGAGGCCCGTAATCTGCCAGCACCCTATGACAAAATGGAACACACCAGCAGTGTGAGGAGACCTGAAAGTGGCACATGGCAGAGTGTGGCGATGGAGACAGCAGCAATGGGAGGCCGTACAGGGACCCATGAGACACTCTGGACCTGGCAGCAGCATGAGGAGGCGGTACAGGGGCCCATGGCAGATTACGGGCCTGGCAGCAGCAATGGGAGGCCCGTAATCTGCCAGCACCCTATGACAAAAAATGGAACACACCAGCAGTGTGAGGAGACCTGAAAGTGGCACATGGCAGAGTGTGGCGATGGAGACAGCAGCAATGGGAGGCCGTACAGGGACCCATGAGACACTCTGGACCTGGCAGCAGCATGAGGAGGCGGTACGGGGGGCCCATGGCAGATTACGGGCCTGGCAGCAGCAATGGGAGGCCCGTAATCTGCCAGCACCCTATGACAAAATGGAACCCACCAGCAGTGTGAGGAGACCTGAAAGTGGCACATGGCAGAGTGTGGCGATGGAGACAGCAGCAATGGGAGGCCGTACAGGGACCCATGAGAGACTCTGGACCTGGCAGCAGCATGAGGAGGCGTTACAGGGGCCCATGGCAGATTACGGGCCTGGCAGCAGCAATGGGAGGCCCGTAATCTGCCAGCACCCTATGACAAAATGGAACACACCAGCAGTGTGAGGAGACCTGAAAGTGGCACATGGCAGAGTGTGGCGATGGAGACAGCAGCAATGGGAGGCCGTACAGGGACCCATGAGACACTCTGGACCTGGCAGCAGCATGAGGAGGCGGTACAGGGGCCCATGGCAGATTACGGGCCTGGCAGCAGCAATGGGAGGCCCGTAATCTGCCAGCACCCTATGACAAAAAAATGGAACACACCAGCAGTGTGAGGAGACCTGAAAGTGGCACATGGCAGAGTGTGGCGATGGAGACAGCAGCAATGGGAGGCCGTACAGGGACCCATGAGACACTCTGGACCTGGCAGCAGCATGAGGAGGCGGTACAGGGGCCCATGGCAGATTACGGGCCTGGCAGCAGCAATGGGAGCCCGTAATCTGCCAGCACCCTATGACAAAAAATGGAACACACCAGCAGTGTGAGGAGACCTGAAAGTGGCACATGTTTGGGGCATGATTCATGGCGGATTTAGTCAGTTGTGTCAGGAACTGGTGGTTTGAAATCCAGACTAATCCACGCCTGATTCATTTTCACAAACGTGAGTCTCTCCACACTTTGGGTGGACAGTCGTGTCCTCCGCGGAGTTACAATACCTCCTGCCGCACTAAACACGCGCTCCGATGCCACGCTACTGGCCGGGCATGACAGCCTTTCAAGGGCAAATTCAGCTAGTTGGGGCCAAAGGTCAAGTTTCGTTGCCCAGTAGTCAAGGGGATTGTCTACCTCGGTTGGCAGGGTGCTGTCCAAGTAGGCCCAAGCCTGTTGTTTGAGGTCCTGCTCCAGGTCCACCTGATGCTGCTGCTGCTGCTGCGGCTGGTTAGTAGTTTCCTCACTGCGCTGGTGAAGAAAGCTACTCATCATCGACTGCAGACTGAGGCAGCCGCTGCTGGTGGAGCTGCCACTGCTCCTACCACCCCACCCCTCCCCTGCTGCCATGGCAGCGGAACGCGAGCGCACAGGGCCCACAGTGTCTGAGGATGGACGTTGGCGCAGAAAGGCAGAGACCAACTGACTACATAGGTGGTTTTTATAGTACGTTATTTTGGCCTCCCTCTCAGCAGGTGTGAAAAAGGCCACCATTTTTGAACGGTAGCGAGGGTCCAACAAGGTGGACAGCCAAAAGTCATCCCTCTGTCTGATGGTTATTATTCGGCTGTCGCTACGCAAGCAACCGAGCATGCTAATGGGCCATTTGTGCCAAGGAATGCGAGGGACTCCCTGCCTCCATCTCCACAGCATACTGCCACGGTGCGTCTGGGTCCTCTGTCTCCTCCTCCTCCTCCTCCTCTACCAGATGCTCCTGCTCCTCCACTCCTGTCCGCTGAGTGGAAAAACCACCCATTTCACTCAATAATTCCTGAGCACACAATGTCCTCCTCTACCTCCTCCTCTTCTTCCTGTCCTGCCCCCACAGGGGTCATGTGGCGTTGAGATCTGTGCGCCACGTCTACCGCACCCTGACCAGCCATTGTTAACAGCATTTGTTCCAGGACGTGCAACAGAGGAATGACGTCGTTCATCCCATAGTCCTGCCGACTCACGAATAGCGTGGCCTCCTCAAAGGGCCTGAGCAAGCGGCAGGTGTCACGCATGAGCTGCCAATGGCTGACATCGAAGTTACACAGGGGAGTACCTTTATCCGCTTGTAACATCAGGAAATCGGTGATGGCCTTTCGCTGTTCGTAAAGGCGGTCTAACATGTGTAGGGTTGAATTCCACCTTGTTGCAACGTCGCAGATCAGGCGATGCTGTGGAATTCCGTTCTGCCGCTGCAGCTCAAGGAGGGGTGTGCTTTGCGGTGTAGGAATGGCTGAAATGCATGCAAAGTTTACGTGACATTTTAAGGATGTCTTGCAGTGGGATGGTGGATTTTAGGAACCGCTTGACAACCAGATTGAACACGTGAGCCATGCATGGCGCATGGCACAACCTTCCTTGACGCAGAGCAGACACCATGTTCTTTCCGTTGTCGGTCAACATGGTTCCGATTTTCAGTTTGCGCGGAGACAGCCATCTGTCGATTTCTCTGTTCATTACACTCAGAAGTTCCTCCCCCTGTGTGACTACGTTCGCCAAGGCATACCAGGTGCAGCACACAGCGTGACACCGTTGCGCCCTGCACATGTGATATGCCGGTCGGGTAATGGGACTTGGCACGGGGGTGGCGGCTGAGGACACGGCGGAAGAAGAGGTGGTAGAGGCGGACATCTTTTGTGGACCAAGGACGTGCAAACGTGGAGGCAAAAGCGGCGTGACCTGTCCAAGTTGCTGGTGCGGCTGTGCCGGCACCACGTTCACCCAGTGGGCCGTAAATGACATGTACTGTCCCTGACCGTAGTTACAGCTCCACACGTCGGCGCTGCCGTGCACTTTGGCAGAGACCGACATGCTCAAAGACTGGCCCACCACCATCTCTTCTACATGTGAATGCAGGGCTGGCACTGCCTTTTTGGCGAAGAAAAATGACGGCTTGGCACTCTCCACCGCGGCGCGGCACAAGCCATCATTTCTCGGAAAGGTGCTGAGTCCACCACTTGGAAAGGGAGGGACTGCTTAGCACCAGCAACTTGGACAGGAGGACGTTCAGCTTTTGCACCGTCGGGTGCGTGCTCGCAAACTGTTGTCTCTTGGAAACGGATTCCAAGAAAGACTGCTGACGGAATCCGTGAAGAGGAGTAGCAGGAGAAGGAGCATCTGAACGAGCGGAAGATGCCAACGAGCGACAACTCCCCTCAGCAGAGGTGTTGGAGCCTTGACTGGCTGATAGAGGGCGATTGACGTCGGGTGACGGAGCAAGTAACGGAGCGGGTGATGGAGCGGGGGCTGGGGCAGGCAGAACCGCCGTATCTTTATCACGGTTTTCCCAGGCCACCAAATGGCGACGCTGCATATGCTGCCGCAACGCTGTAGTCCCAACATGGGCCCCCTGGCCACGCTTGACTTTCTGGCCACATAGTCGACATACGGCTACGTTTACTTCCTCGGGCGGCTTGACGAAAAATTGCCACCCACACCGCCGAGTAGGAAACTTTGCCCCCCGATACTCCTCACTGGCTGACTGCTACTTCCTCCGTGCACACCGGCACCACTACTGGCCGTGGTGGTAGGCTGCAGTGGAGCTGGTGCTCTACTCCGTGGCCGTTTGCCTCCACTGACACTGCTGCGACCCTGCTGCCTCCTGGGCAACCCACCGACTGTTTTGCTCGCTGCCAAGCTGCCACCCTCTTCTCCTGATGATGCGGAAGCAATAGCCTGATGACGACGAGGCTGCCAAGTGCGATCAGCCTCATCATCATCAATTAGGGTCTCCGCCTCACTACTAGCCCCCTCGGCTGCGTGTGGGTCAGGAGACAGACCTGTCTCTAGACCGGCTACCGAGCCACTCTCCTCGCCACTACTTCTTCGCCTGGCTGCTGAAGAGGCGGATGTCTCCCCCCCGTTCCTGACCGCCCTCTGTTAGCTCTTCCTCACTGTACAGTGGGGCTGAGCCCACAGCATGCGATACTTCGCTTGGTGAGGGAACACCAAAGGACAGGGGCAGGTAGAGGACACGTGATTCAGTGGGCTTGCTCCCGGGCCATGCCAACTAACGGTTGTGTCTGACGTACCCACCGACCGTTGGCTGTAGGTGTCAGAGGTGACCTGGGAAGAGGAAGACGACCGAGCCAACCAATCGATGACGGCAGGGTTGTCGGTGGAGACACGACCGCTGGATGACACCGGGAGCACTGGCCTCTGGCTGCGACTAGTGCTGCCTCGACCCCTTCCTCTGCTGCCACGTCTGCTCGCTCCTAAAACATTGCCTCCTCTGCCACTCCTCTGCATGTTGTCTGACATACTCTTTAATTCAACGATTCTGTGTCCCTCTGTGTCCCTGAGTAACAATTCTGTGTAGTAAATTCTGTGTCCCTGAGTAACAATTCTGTGTCCCTGAGTAACAATTCTGTGTCCCTGAGTAACAATTCTGTGTCCCTCAGTAACAATTCTGTGTCCCTCAGTAACAATTCTGTGTGTCCCTGAGTAACAATTCTGTGTCTGTCCCTGAGTAACAATTCTGTGTCCCTCAGTAACAATTCTGTGTCCCTCAGTAACAATTCTGTGTCCCTCAGTAACAATTCTGTGTCCCTGAGTAACAATTCTGTGTCCCTGAGTAACAATTCTGTGTCCCTCAGTAACAATTCTGTGTCCCTGAGTAACAATTCTGTGTCCCTGAGTAACAATTCTGTGTCTGTCCCTGAGTAACAATTCTGTGTCCCTGAGTAACAATTCTGTGTCCCTGAGTAACAATTCTGTGTCCCTCAGTAACAATTCTGTGTCTGTCCCTGAGTAACAATTCTGTGTCCCTGAGTAACAATTCTGTGTCCCTCAGTAACAATTCTGTGTCCCTCAGT